AACGATCTTGAGCAGCCCGAGGTAACTCAGGATATGCTAATGATGTCAGCCGTCTGACATCTTGACCAAGAGTCTGTAGTGTTTCCTTGGGTTTACGTGTTCGGCCCACCCACTCTGCTTGGTACACATCTGCTTTACCTCCTGGGCCAAACCTTTTATCTAAGGCAGACACCAATTCATCATACGTATAGCCAGGGTCCATCTCATAGATGAGTTGTTGCGCTTGACCCCTAAGGCTAGTTGCAAGAAACTGTTTCTTCTCTTCATCGCTCCATGAATTTGCACTTACACACATGGCAAAATAGGCTTTGTAGTCAATCCATGGTGTAGTTCCATTGTATGTGTCAGGTTTTATCTTTGTCTTGCTCTGAGAGGCAGCTCTCTTAGGTATTGTCTCTTCCAATACCTTCCCAACTAATTTAGTCGTCTCTTCATGCATCTTTGCAAACTGAGCTATCACTGAAGGCATTGTATCATTCATTGGTACGGCCGTTTCCTCTTCTTGAGGAGTAAAATGTGTCATATTTGCATTAGTCTGCAGAGCTTCTTCATATCTGGTTTCAGCCTCATTCGGTAATTCATCATATGTAGATCGGTATCTATCCTTGGAAGGCTGACTTTGAGTCTGTTGAGGCACAAACATTCTTTTACTCGGTGTTCCCACAAACATTGTCTCTCCGAATCCATAGTCATCTTCTGACTTTACAGCTGCAACTCTCCTTTTTGTCGGAGGACTCTTAAATGCAGGTCTCTTTGGCAATCCTGTAAAATCTTCATCAGAAGCAATTCTCTTCTGGCGTATGAGTGGCCACTTTGGGGGAGTTACTATTCTGGGTTGATCAGCAGTTAATTCTGGATTAACTAATGAGGGCCCCCCTACCACTCCTTGCTGCGGATTAAATGTAGAAAGAACTTCTCGAGACTGTAATCTCTGAGAAGTCGCACTGGACTTAGCCTGTAACATTGTTCTGGTGTCTACACTTGTTCCTAATTTCACTACAGGACTTGAAGGTCTGACGTCACCCTGTAAAACTGGTTCAGGACGAGAAGTTGAACTTTGTAATGCCATATGTAAGGTCTGGCATAAGTTATTCATCTCTTCCTTAAATTCCGCCTTCAAAGTTTGTGACAAAGTTCCAATATGATCTTTGATCTGTGTGACTTCTCCACCAATGTTAGACATATGTCCTTCCATATTAGCCACCTGTCCTTCTATATGAGACATGTGTCCCTCCATGTTAGACACCTGTCCTTCCATCATGTTTATGGTAGTCACATTCTGGTTAATGGCATCTTCCATAACATGTATATGCGTTTTCATTTCTCTATCAACTGGTCTTTCCTGCGTGCCCAGTTTAAGTTCTGCAGGTGTAGTTATCATTGTTGAGGTGCGAGGCATATATCTATCTCCTTTGGGTCTGGCTCCCCATGCTTGACTCTGTGGACTATAAGCACCATCATGTACTGTGCCTGACCAATAGCCAGTAGTCTGTCCACCCCAGGCTTTCTTAAACTCTGTTTCTATCCCAGTCTTATCACTAGGGTAGATTGCTTCTGCACCACCAACTGTACGACGTCTCTCATCTGGATCTGCCTCACTTGGCAACCTCCATTTCTCCATCGCTGGGAGTTCTGTAGCCATGTGTTCCATAGCCTTTCTTCCTGTATATTGAAGAGTGTCATCCTTGGCTATGGGATTATCTATCTCACCGTCTGTAGCTAACTTTACAAAGACAGTCTTCTCTACATCTTTAGACTTGTCTGTATTTGTATCAGAGAGATCACCACTCTCTATTGACTTTGGAGCCTCTGTATCCATCTTTAATGGGCTATAATGTGCCTCTGGTTCAAATCTTCAGACACAATCAATCCCACCGCTGCCACCAATGTAACAGTTTGGCCTATTTTTGTGGATATACGTGGTAGCGTGACTTATAATAGGCCCACTGTTTAGTAAACGGTGTTTACTTGGTGAGTTACACGGCACACGTTAAATGTGCGATTGTCCCTAAAGAATTAAACAGACATATACAATTAAATATAAATATAAAACAGTATATTGTGGCGTTTATAAGCCCAAATAAAGATGTACATTAAATGTCAAGTATGAAGGTTAAAATGCTACGATATTATTATCTCTCTCAAAACTCACAACTCAAAAGTCCATATAAGCTAATATTTATCACTAATAAAGCAATATCTAGAGTCCGTATAAGCTAATAATAATCACTAAGAACACAATATCCAGAGTCCATATGAACTAAAGTAGATGATCACTATATACCACTGTTGTATCTCCAATATTAAAAGTTCATATATGTTGTAATACTTGTACGTCTTGTATTGTACTTGTAACTTGAACCTGAAATAGTAATCTCCTGGATCCTCTTCTATGTAGTGTAGTATGATTCAAGTTTGATGATGTGAAATCATCTAAGTCAACTATCACTTCAGTAAATGGCTATCTCCTGGATCCTCTTCTCTGAATTGTAGTGTAATTCAACTTTGAGGATGTAAAATCATCTAAGTCAAACTATTGCTCCGTAAGCGTAAATCTCTTGGATCCTCTTCACTGTATTGTAGTATAATTCAGCTTTGATAATGTTAAATCATCAAGTCAACTATCGGCTCGGTAAATGGCTATCTCCTGGATCCTCCTCAAATGTGTTGTAGTATAATTCAACTTTGATTATGTAAAATAATCCAAGTCAAACTATCAAGTCTGGAAACGACTATCTCCTGGATCCTCCTCAATGTGTTGTAGTATAATTCAACTTTGATTATGTGAAATAATCCAAGTCAAACTATCAGGTCTGTAATCGACTATCTCCTGGATCCTTCTCTCTGTGTTGTAGTATAATTCAACTTTGATTATGTGAAATAATCCAAGTCAAACTATCAGCTCTGTGAACGGCTATCACCTGGATCCTCCTCAATGTAGATGTATATTCTAACTTTAATGACACAAGATCATCAAAGTCAAAATATCTCGTTGAATAATCTGCTAAGTCCTGGAACGTCCTCTCTGTAGATGTATATTCTAACTTCAATGACCAAAAATCATCAAAGTCAAAATATCTCGTTGAATAATCTGCTAAGTCCTGGAACGTCCTCTCTGTAGATGTATATTCTAACTTCAATGACCAAAAATCATCAAAGTCAAAATATCTCGTTGAATAATCTGCTAAGTCCTGGAACGTCTTCCTATGTAGATGTATATTCTAACTTCAATGACCAAAAATCATCAAAGTCAAAATATCTCGATGAATAAACTGCTAAGTCCCAGAACCTCTTCTCTATAGATGTATAAGTCAAAATTATCACAATCTTCAAACTACCAAGTCCAAGGACGTCTAATACACGGCATCAACTGCTTAGTCAATGTAGCCTACTTCCTTCACAATTAAATAACAAGGCTACCTACAAATATAGCATGCACACAACGACATATGCAAAAATATAACATGTGAAAATATTTGACCTCTAAAATGACTAAGTTAATTTAATGTTAAGTGATACTGATATTGAAATATTCTAAGTTCAATATTTCTCTTTCCAAAAACAATAAAGTCCACAATAATATTTCACCAAATATTGACTAAGTTAATTTCATGCTAAGTTATACTGATGTTAAAATATTCTAAGTTAAATATTTCTATCTCCAGAAATAACAAAGTCCAAAATAATATTTCACCAAATACTGACTAAGTCCAATAATGTTGTAAATCGTCTAAGTTCCTTGATGATCAAAATAGCTTGTTTCTCAAACACAAGTTATGTCAGCATTTCCTCTCAGTCTATGAAGGCTGGACAATACGTCTAATGCTTTGCGCTGGGGATAGCTTCACCCTGTCGAAGTTTTGTCCAGTCTTGTAGATCTCCCTTACTTCCAGTGCGATAAATAAACTAAGTTCCTCTCACTTAGCTACATCAAAGTTTCCCAAAAATCCAAGTTCCAAAATAAACTAAGTTTCGCACACTTAGTTTCCTCAATCTGCCCTTGTATACTGCAAACGTATAGCTTGGTTCATCAGATGTATTCTACTAAGGTACAGCTTCTATCTTCATGTGTATACTGCAAACGTATAGCTTCAAGACCACAAAATCAACTAAGTTCTATAAAACTTAGAAGATTTTAGCTGTTTCCCGAAATTCCGCTCTGGAGGTCCTTCCTCGACAACATCTGGCATCGCACTGACGATCCTTCAACAGCGAGATACTTATATAGGCCCGATGACGTCATTAATTTTCGGACAAGATTTCAACTGTGAATTACAGCTTACTTACGCCATATTTCGCTTCAATATTGATCATACAGCAAGATTATAATATTGACTCAAGAAATACAACAGTAATTAACCACTATCTAATCTAATTTCACTTCGATTCGATAGAATAAAAAGCAGGAAGTAAAATAATAAAGTTGTCAGGTGAGACTACCGATCAACTACAAATTAGACTGCCAGATAAGACTGCCCGATCAACAAAATCTTGATTAAATAAAATATGCGAACTATTTCACCTCTGTAAGTACAACCTAAGTGCTGCAAATGATACTGCATTTATAGATCTTAATAATCTCAATAGGAAATTACTTTCCAAGTGTAATAATTACCTAATGTACAAAAATACAGCACTTCATTAAAAATCAAAAATTTTACATTTAAAATTCCGTTACAGTATCATGAACTTCCATTGAACTTTAGTAGTCTCTTTAAATATCATGAACTACCAATGTATTTTAAGATGAGACCATTAATTGAGTAATGTCTCTTTAGTATTATGAACTTATAATGTATTTCAGGATGTACTCGTATATAAGTAATATTACAAAGCTAATGTATTTTAGGATGAAACACCATTTATTCAGTAATGCATCTTTTAAGTCGACCAGTTACCTAGTAATATCTCTCTGAATCATAAACCACTGTATTATAGGATGGGAAACCATTTACTGAGTATTATCTCTTTAAGTTTCTTGAACTTCTACTGTATTGCAGGATGAGAGGCCATTTACTGAGGATGAGGAGGAGAAATTACAAAAAACTTTAGAGCTACAGGAAGCTGACCTTGAACTTGTCATTCACACTTGTGAATTTTTTCTGCATCAAGTGAGTGAAATCTTTATTGAGTTTTCTACAGGGTGACCCAAAAAATCCAGCACTCCTTTTGGAATAACTTTTTCGGTTATGTACGTTTCTCCTTGATATTTATTGTGTGGATTTTGTGCAAGTATTTTGATAATCAAGAAAAAGAACATTACAGTTTTTGGGGTCACCTTATCTGATGTAATTGATACTACTGTATATATTGTTTAATGAATATTTGCTTGGAGAATTTTTGACATTTTGAGCCATATTATTTGAACACTTCACTTCTTGAATATTGCTGAAAACATATTTTTATGAAATCAGTCTTTATTTTATTTTTATTTATTTATTTATTAATTTCTCAATTCACCCCCAATAGGGTTTAAGAGTACAAAAGACAAACTTAACTAATACAGTAACAAACATTACTAAAAATAATATTTATTAATATGAAATTACACTTCTGTAGAGTATCTGTTCTCTATTTGCTTGTCAAGCTTGGGAGAAGAAACATCACGATGCTGCAAAATAAACAAATTAATGTTGGATTACTACAGGTCAACACAATATTTAAAAAACCTAAGATATGGACATTAATTCAATAATTCCATTATTGTGTGCTTATCATTTTACAAATGATGATAAATTCTTAAAGATTGCTATACAGTAAAACCTGTCTAGGTGGAGCATTTTTGGTACCTCTAAAAAGTGTTCCACTTGGGAGGTGTTCCACTTACAGAGGATCATTTAACATTAAGGCATTTGGTCTTGGGACTCTGAAAACTGTTCTATTAACAGAGGTGTTCCCCTTCTAGGGGTCTCCCACTTTACAGGTTTTACTGTATTTATGAAATTGATGCCAATCTAGGGAAAATGGGGTTTCATTACACCAATGACATTTAACAAAAGACTAGTCTCTGTTTGGTGAACGTAGTTCATCAGTCTAGTGCATGTTACGCCTGCTTTGGACAATTCTGATGTTTTTAAATATTGTAGATTTAAATGTCCTCTTTTGAATATCCATAATTTAATTTGGGTGATATTTCTATATTTTTCATAAAAGAATTATTAGCGTAGTACACTGATGAACTTCTTTCTCCAAATCGAGACTTGTCTTTTAATTATTGAATCGGTCTACTGCATGTTGATATTTCTATATTTTTCATAAAAAATTATTAGCCCAGGTCAGCATTTGAATGACAATCAATTTTGGAATTTGACATTACAAACATAACAACAAACATTCTAACAGCCAATTAAAAACTACAGTGTATTGTACAATGAAATTTTAAGGGAAAGAATACTGACCTCGAAGAATTTAAGAGCATGAGGCATTTTGGAAAACCTTGATTTTACTTTTGAAATCAAGTGTTTCGTCTGAAATAGATGACTAAATGTGCATGCTACATTTACTCAATCAATCATAAAACTTAGTGTTGAATTATGAAATAATCTGAAATATTCTATTAAAACTTAACTAAACTTGTATTCGAGAATGCTGTTGGCTACTGGATTAACCTACTATTTCATGGGCAATTCATTTAACTATGGAAAGTACCTGCCACTATTCCATTCATATTTAGTAGGTTAATCAGGTAGCGAACAGCTGAAAGTTGCATTCGCGAATACAAACTACATGTAATACTGCCATAAATTGTCAAATGGAATCGTGAGCTTGATAAGCATGCTCACCATAGTCAATATCAGTGACATCATCAATGTACTAGAATGATTGAAAAAGATTGTAGAACTAAAAATATCAGTACAATTGAATGAGTGACCCAGTTTCCCTGATCCACATGTTTGACACCCATCCAGATAATTAACAATCTAATTCCAAATCTTTGTTAAAAGGTTTTGAGCTGCTTGAAATAAGTTGAGTATTCCTTCCTCAGCTAATTTCCTATAATTTGCCGCATCCTTCACCCATTTTACTTATTCTAAGTAAGTACTCCTACAGATAATTAAATTAACAGCATGTGTTAGTTTTGCAATCAATATGCTTTATAATCCATGTGCAGATAAAGATTCTCTGGGTGTAGACCTGTAAGTGACTGTCTTCATTATTAAGGCATACTGTGATTTATAGTGGATAAAATGGTATAGTGGATAAAATGGTTCAAAATAATATTTGCTGGCTATAGACATGGTTGCCTGGTCTAAAAACTTCTCTGGTGGATCTGTTTTTTCGAAATATGCATGAAGGTCCATTCAAAGTTGATGTTTGAACTTTTAAAAGCCATGTTTAGACTGAGGATTGAAAAAGTTCAAAGAACTTTGATTTTGCGATTTTTCTTGGAAATTTATGAGTTGAGAAAACAGTGATTATAAAAGTGTTCTTTTTAAGAAGCGAGGAAGTCAAAATATTCCTGATAGAAACATTACAGAATGTACTTCTGTTTTTTACCTTAGTTTTATCGAATGTCAAAATATGTTTTTTATTTGCCTGATATTTGCTTAGATGTTATATCTGAGACTAACATAAAAGTCTCAGGTTGTATGTACAGTATATTTGAATTGATTATAAATCAAAAATAAGTACAGTTAAGTATTTGATGCCATTGTGTCTTGTCCTGGGATGTAATTGAACTGCCTCTATATCCTAGATTTCCTTTAAGAACAAATTTGCTTCTATATACAATGTACTGTATACTGACTCTTACTTCATTCATCAAAAGTCTCTGACTTCAGTTATCAAATACAGAGAGTTAGTAGTTGCATTCCCTCCCAATTAGTCATCCAAAACTTGAATTCCGCTTATCAATCACTCCAACTCACTATTAGTTCAGTCAGATCAGCTTTTTAAGCTATGCATGTATGTTGCTTTCAAATCCATATGACTATTTTAGTTTTGCTTATTATACATCTTGAAATCATTTTTTGGCAAGGATAATGTATTAAAAGATTTGGAAATGAGGATGTAAACTAATTCATGTTGATAGTTATCATATTTTTATGAAAACATAATCAGGAGATGAAATAGCTCATCCTTCGTTTTATCACACCCTTGGGTGCTATATTGTGATCTGTTTTATTACTGGTTCCACTGTAAATGGTTTTTTACTTCAGAAATATGATATATTCCCTGGCCAAAAAAGTCCACTAAGATAATGAATTGTTTGTGAAGTATAAATCCCATCATCAATTCTGTAAATAATCTCTATACATGTCTTTACATATATCTTATGCTTATGCTTGCAATCAATTTTAAGTCAAAGGTGTTTTATTCAGTTATTTTAAAACAGGGCTTCTCTATTATTTTCAATGTTTTATTTTAAGACATCCCACATAATAACTAGACATGTAAATTGAACAAGTTCAATTTAAGACTCCAGATTTCAGACTTTTTTAAGCTGAGTCATCCAAATACTTGTAAGCTGAGTCATTCAGAGTAAGCTGAGTCAGCTAGAATATAGACATTAAGACAACTCTTAAGAATGTTATCTTCGACTCCATTGGCTTAACATGGGGATATCATCATATCGACTTTTCGAGACTTCAAACCGCTATAACTATCTAATCAGAAGTTGGATCGAAATTTGGTTTAAAGATTCTGATTCCTGAGAAAATTCTACCCTTAATTCATAACTCATACGTTAAATTTGGAGAACTTTTTATTTTGACCTACTTTTCAGACACCATATCTCAAAAGTGGGTCAAAATACTTTCTGACGGCAGAAGGCTAACACTATAAGCACACTCTTTGCTACCGGTATACAAAATTTCGAAGCAAATCATTAAAGTGTAATGTCAGAATCGTAAAAATAAGGAAAAACTATGAATTTGACCTAGATTTTGACCTAGGCATTTTGGTATCCACATTTTGAAGCTATGTAGCTTTTGAGGTCCCCTTCTTTTATAAGCATTCATTTTGTTAAGCTGTACTCAGTCTATATCTTGTATTTTACACTTCGAAAAAGTCTTTTTTCCCATTGACTTAACATAGGCACCAAATTTAGCGATTTTTGAGCATTCAAAACGCATAAGTTCCGAACCGGAAGTCCGATTCCAATTTGGTTTGTAGATTCGGATTCCTGAGATCATTCTACACTTATTTCATAACTCACATGTTGAATTTGGAGAACTTTTTGTTCTGACCTACTTTCCGGACGCCATATCTCAAAATTGGTAAGAGTAATCAAAATTCTGATGTCATATCTTTGATTTGCCTTCTTCTAAGCTACATGATAAATAAAAGATGAAGGAGTTACGAAGAATATTAATGAAGATATGATGAAGTATGTTGAAAATGTAAGATTTGACCTAGTTCTTGACCTTTGACCTAGATAAAAATTTGACCTAATTTCCCAGAAAGCCAGAAACATTCCTTAGTTAATCATGTAAGTTGGTTTAAGTAAGATGTTATAGTTGGAGAGAAAATCTGTTAGGAGGAAGAAAGAAAGAAAGAAAAAAGAAAAAGAATAATAACTAGACATGTAAATTGAACAAGTTCAATTTAAGACTCCAGATTTCAGACTTTTTTTAAGCTGAGTCATCCAAATACTTGTAAGCTGAGTCATTCAGAATAAGCTGAGTCAGCTAGAATATAGACATTTAGACAACTCTTAAGAATGTTATCTTCGACTCCATTGGCTTAACATGGGAATAATTATCATATCAACTTTTCGAGACTTCAAACTGCTATAACTATCTAACCAGAAGTTGGATCGAAATTTGGTTTGCAGATTCTGATTCCTGAGAAAATTCTACCCTTAATCCATTATGCATACGTTAAATTTGGAGAACTTTTTATTTTGACCTACTTTTCGGACACCATTTCTCAAAAGTGGGTCAAAATACTTTCTGATGGCAGAAGGCTAACACTATAAGCACACTCTTTGCTACCTGTATACAAAATTTTGAAATAAATTATTAAAGTGTAGTGTCAGAATCGCAAAAATAAGGAAAAACTATGAATTTGACCTAGATTTTGACCTAGGCGTTTTGGTGTCCAAATTTTAAAGCTGGATAGCCTTCGAGGTCCCCTTCTTTTATAGGCTTTCAGAATGTTAAGCTGTACT